GTATCAATAGTAAGTAACCGTAAAGCATATTATAAGCATATATATGATATATTAACATTACTTGTCGTAATTTTTTTTAACTGAGTTGAAAGTACAAGTGAGCCTTTCTGATCACATGTTGTCCATCCGTCTTTACGTAATCTTTTCAAATTTTTAACTTCTTCTCAGAACCACTGGGCTGATTTTATCTAATGTTGTAACAAAGCATTCTTTGACACAGGAGGGATTAAATTATATGAAAATGATGGACCAGAGAAATAATCTAGAACAGAAAACATAGGGTGGGCTTATTAAAAAAAAACTTCTTCTCAAGAACCCAATTAATTTAATACTTCTATACTTTTAATACTTTTTAATTGAAGTACAAACATATATTATTATAACTTAAAAAATAGAATTTGGACTGGTGGTATTACATGTCTAGATGTTAAAAGAAAATTCACAAAACTTATAAACCATTTTCAGGCAGGAGTTCCAGCGATGATTGACAAGCTATTAGTGGAACCAATTCAATCTTCATTCTACTCAGCCTTTAACAACTCCTTAACGAATGCAGCTAGTATACCAGAAAGTGAAAAGTGAGTGGAAATAACCAAGTAAATACTTAAAGAATGGGAATACTAGTATTCAAAATAACAATGCTAATAATATATGTATTTTTTAAATATTCAATTTAAAAATGATGTTAATTCATATTTTAAAATTTCTAAGTTGTGTCTTTTGCAGTGAAGTTTGATAATAGCATTAATATTTGTCATTTGTAGAACAGGAATTAGAGAAAGAGGACTCCAAGCTGTGAACAGAACGATTCAAGCGTATCGAAAAATCAAAGAATTTATAATCAATGTAAGAAAAAGAGACATCTACGCCATGCAGTTTAATGAAAAAATAAATATTGAAAGAATTATTATGGAAAACTTGTAATTTTCAAAAGACTTTGATATGTATTATTATATCGTTAACGTTATTATTATAATGCGAATTATATTTGTCCAGGAATACATGCCGAATACTCGATCCCATTATGGTGTCAATAGTCTGAAAGACGGCTCTGATTATTATCGCGCATGCCTAATCTGGCACTTGTCCTTCAACATGACACCGGAAGAAGTTCATAAAGTGGGAGAACAGGAAGTGGAAAGAATCCACGGAGAGATGAAAAAGGTGTCCCGATCCCGAACGTATAACACACTGCTAACGTTTGAAGAATGCATCATTAAATGCTCAATAAATGATTGTTTAAAAATGAGAGCTTTTCAGAGAAAAGAAATATCTGAACTTTAATTCTTTCTATTCGAAACACTATCCCCTCTGTGACGAAATAGTTAGTTTTTTTTTTCCAAATGGTTACATGTCTGGTTTTTACCATTTTCTTTTTTACATTTTATTTCTGCAGACAATGCAAAAGCTTGGTCATACTGGAACGGTGAAAGACTTCTTCAACAGTCTTGTTAACGATTCTAGATTCTACTCAAACGATTCTGTAAGTTTGATTTTCATATGCTTCTCTAGGGAAATACTCCAATACTGTAGCTAACGATTTTTCTCATCAATTTTAACGAAAACTATCTCTAGTTCAGTAGTTATAAACAAAATTATTGGTTACATTTTTTAATTTAATTTCTTCTAATGCTTGAATGAAAAATTAATTTAAAAACCCACTCATTTCAACAGGATGCTATCATAGCAGAATACAACGATATTGTTTTCAAAAGAATTAATCCCAAATTACCAGAATTCTTTAAAGATATACCTGATGTACCCCTTGAGTGAGTACCAATTGCTAATGCTAATTTGATACCTGTCACTAAATTAACTGAGTTTTCTTTGAGTTTTCACATTATCTATCCTTGAATTGTGAGAATACTTTATCCATCCTTGTATGGTGATAGCTGTATAAATGTTATGTCTTTTAAAAGAATAAGGAAGATGAGTTATGATGGACCAGGGGGAGGCTACTCATCAGCAACAGAGGAATATCCCTGGTGTATTTTTAATCAACCTATTTCGTCCACTGGAAAAGTAATTATTCTCTCGTATGACTCTTTAATAGATAAATATGATATTTAAATATATATTAAAAGGAACACCATTATCCTACAAAAATTGTAGAGACTGTTTAAAAATAATTTCATTTTGTAGTCCATTCTTTGATTTTATGGCTCTGAGTCTTCATGAAGCTAGTCCAGGACATCATCTACAGGTAACAGGTCTCACACAATTTTTTTTTCTCTTTAACCCCTTTCGTTATGTTGCCGTTGTACTCCACGAAAAAACCTTTGGCTATGTAAAGCCGAAATTTTGTAAGAAATTGCACACTCATTTTTACTACAACAGCACAGTTACACACTGAAGGCGAACCTCCCGGATTATCGACGTCACACACCTTTATCTTTCTACGATGTACCTGTTTGGTTTCCATGGTATTCTGCATACTCTGAGGTACACGGTTTGATTTGTCATATTTACAAATTGTTATAAAAATATTGATATTCAGTTGCTTTTTTACTATTAGTTTTAAAGGGTAACAATGTCATAACTTAGATACGCAAAATACCTTAAATATTGGCTTTCAAATCATATTCGATTAATCACCAAATGTTACAGCAAAGATTGTCAGAACTGAGGCTGAGAGCGCTAACTACCAACATGAATTTCATTTACCAAGCAACCAGTCAAAACAAAATTTGCAATACAAAGTGACAGAAAACAGAGAGAAAAACGCCGAAAATTATTTGATAATAAACAAATTCATAAATCACAATATCTGTTTAGGGATGGGCGTTATATTCAGAGTACCTTGGAGTAGAAATGGGATTATATAAAGACGACTATGAGCTGTGAGTAGATTCAAATGTCTAAATTCAAGAATTCAGGAAGATGATAATTCTTTCATAAAAGAAAAAAAAAACAATAACCACAAAAACATTATTTCATTAATTTGAAAAGCATTCTTTTTTAAAGTATGGGGCGGTACAGTGCAGAAATTCTTCGCGCCTGCAGACTTGTTGTTGACACAGGATTGCATTACTACAAGTGAGTATTTTGACAAAAAATACAATTTTCAGAAAAATAAACAGTGATCAGAGGACATTTTGTTTTTTTAAGGGGGCCGACTATAGTTTCCTTTGCGCAATATTTCGCGCATCGTAGTAAAATGAAGCGTATTTACTGTTTTAATGCAACTTTTTTCGCTTAATTATTAAAATTACACAAAAAAAAGAAATTATAGGTATAAAAATGTAATTACATTTTGATATAATTGATTTTTTAACCGATTTTGCAATTGATAGGTAGGTTGACGTCGTTGCAGTGTGTTTTTGACGTTATGATAATCTGTAGCTCTTAAAGAAAGGGGCAATAAAAATATTATTAAAGAAAAAGTAATAAACATACGCTCTTGAAATTTAAAACATAGAAATTTGAGAATATCTCTTATATTTGTATTATGTTTTCATGTGAATCCATTGTGTACGTCATATTTTGTAATACTCTATAAAAATAGTAAAATTTGTTAATTTTTTGCATTTTGAGATGTCTCCTCTGGTAACAAGACAGTAGAATTTTGTGTTTCTTACATATATTGTATATTATAGTATTAATCATCAAATATTATAGTTTGAACAAAAGGTCTATTGTAGTATTTGTATAATTTGCTTTAAAGTGCTAATAATAGTATATAATCCTATAGTAAATATACCTTTATTTTGAGACGGTCCCTCAAAAATACCTGGGCGGTAGATTTCCCCCAAATTTTGCATGTACACCGAAGTTAATGTAAGTTATATATGGTATAAAATGAAGAGTTTCGCTATTGTAGTTTTCACACAATAAAACTATAGTCGGCCCCCTTAATTATAAAATGTCTTTCTTTATCATTGTTAGCTGGGACAAGAATAGGGCTATTGAATACATGCTGAACTATACAGCTTATTCATATGAAGCTACTGAGATAGAAGTAAATAGATACATCACATGGCCTGGACAGGCATGCGCATACAAAATAGGCGAAATCAAGATCAAAGATCTCCGGAAAAAGGCAGAAACTGAACTAGGTACCTTAGTTCGTTACAGTCACCCTATATATAATTAGATTTGAATCTGGCGCAATTTGATTATATATGACATTTTTTTGTGTTGATAAACGTTCTCTGAAATGTCGTAATTTAAAAATATCGTCATTTTACAGGCACTAAATTTGATCTCCGAGATTTCCATTCCATTCTTCTTACCAATGGAGCTGTTCCGATGTCGGTGCTAGAGATGATAGTTGAGGAATGGATTAAGGAAGTTCAGGCAATTTCTTCCTTATCTGGAGCTCATAGTGTGAACAACAATAACGTGGCACAACTCTGTGCTATACTTGTTTTCTTGTTTCTTTACAAATGATAGCACATGTGATAAATTAGTGTTAAAAATCTTGAAGAAAAGCAAGATGTGTTAAGGTTTATCGATACTTTGAAAAGAGCGATAACTCTTGTGGAAATAAATTGATATCATTATTATTAAGCTGATCACACCCTATTTAAGATTAGATAAATAAAAAATTAAAGGAATCAATTGATTTGACTATGTTTGGTGAAGTTATCTTGCAATTAGCGGCCGTATCACTAATTTCAATGATTCGTGTTAAGAAAACTGTCACAATTCACCTGTCAGTAATATTTTTCCATTCAGTTTATATATTTTTTCTATACAGTGGATCGTATTGTCTTTCAATTAACATTAAGTTTTATACATAACAGTATTTTGTATATAAGGAATATAACTAAGCCTTATAAAAATTTGATGCATATTTACAAAACAACTTGAATGTACATTAAATAAAATAAAATGTAATTTGTTTCTTTTGTCAAAAATTATTTATTACTTACTCTTCGTGGCTTTTAGAAGATTAAATATTGTACAATGTCCCCAGAATGTTCAATTAATTAACATATAGACCTTGAGCATTCTAACATTTAAAGCTAAAAATAAATGCAAACATTAAAAATAAAAAAGGAAGTACATTCATTACTTTATATAATGGAATCCTCAAGCAAAAAAAGCATAAAAGGGTATCTAAATACATGCGGGAAAGGAAACTAAATTGTATCTTATCTAAGAAACAATTAAAATATAAATAATCAGAAATATGTTCAAGTAAGCATCCATTCTGAATCCACCGGAAGTACACTGATTTGTTGTTTCCCGCACTTTTTTCTTTGTTTTCGCAATCCAATGATTGACATTCTTTTCTAGTACATTAAGCGGAATACCACCTTCTTTCAAAACAGTAGAATGGAAATCTCTTATGTCAAAGTTTGAACCTTAAAAAAAATCAAAACAAACATAGTTAATGGCGAAAAAAAAACCCGACAGGTGGATAGTATGGAAGATGAGATCGAGGGTTTTCCCCCATTAAATTTATACCACACACACATGTCCATGTAATTATCTTATACAATTTCATTTTTAAAAACTTTTAACTGTTGGCATTTAAATAAAATTAAAAATCAACGAATATATGCTATATGTAAAAATACCTAATTCTTTTTCGGCCTTTTCACGTAACTCTCTTATTTTAAACTCCCCAATTTTGTATGCACATGCTTGACCAGGCCATGTTATATATCTGTCAATTTCGACTGTGATCTTGGCCTCATCGTATGCTGTATAATTCATGATATATTGTATGGCCCTTTCTCTTGTCCAGCTAAAAATAAAAAAAATTATAAGCTCAAATTTCATTAAGTAAATTTTTATGCATGTACAAGTACTAAGATATTTTAAGAGTGTGAATAATGTTTTTTTTTCTCAAACTATGTAAATATGGACGGGAAATGTTATACAAAAGGGAAATGCTCGACAACAAGGCGACTTATTGCAAACTAGAAATAGTCAAAGTATTTCTATTCCAAATATACAAAGAATATCCTGTCGAAAAGGATGTATTTATATACAAACTTGTAATAATGTAATCCTGTATCGACAACTATACAAACTTGTAATAATGTAATCCTATATCGACAACTATACAAACTTGTAATAATGTATTCCTGTATCGACTACAAGGCGACAGGCCCTGAACATCTCCCGTCCGTATCTTCCCATACTGAAACAAAAATAGTTCATTAACTTATGGTCAATTTTCAGAAAAGCAATGATACATATTTTAGATAATTTATATAATGATAATAAAAGAGTGCCACGTTTCAACTGATACAGTTCTTGAATGATCTGGAGGGAGAGTATACTATTCCCTTTCCCGCACTTGAGAGGGTATGAAATGAATGGTAGAAAGAAGAGTACGCATTGTCCTATCTCTTCACCTACACTTGAAAGGGGGGGGGTACTTAAGGAATAAATGGACGAATGAAGAGTTCATGGTATCTTATCCCTTCACCGCCACTTGAGGGGGTAAGATTTGAATAGAAGAAAGAAGAGAACGCGCTGCCCTATGAATTGAATGAGAAGAGGGAGCGTACACTCTGCCCCTCCCGCTCTCCCCCAAACACTTGTGTTTGCTTACAGTTCATAATCAGTTTTGTATAACTGCATTTCCTCACCCAAGGATTCTGCATATAATGCCCATCCCTGAAAGAAGAAACAATGAAGTCTGAAAAACGATAGCTATATTTAAAGATGAAAGATGTTTAAAAAGATATCTCATATTGAATTTCTACATGGACAAGAAAATATACGATACAATTGTTCTGATCAATAAATTAGTATACAATATATTATGCAACTGAAATTTTTCCTTTGAGATACTGAAAGCTATTCATATAAATGTATTTACCAGGCACAGTTTAAAAACCTTAAAACATTTATCTTTATTCGCAAACCTCGGAGAACGCCGCATACATAGGTATATTTGTAGGGGACAAAAAGTAATGATTATTCCGAACTATCCTGTATTTAGGGATCTTGACAGTTGCTTCAACGGATTTCTGCAATATAAAACAATCAACATCAATTAAATAGGTCTGTTACAAAACATTTTGAAACAGTACACACTTTGAAAAAAAAAAATTTCAAAGTGCGTTAAATTTGGGACCAAATCAACGCACTTTGAATTTTTTTTTTTTCAAAGTGCCTTAATATCGACCATAATAATGCACTTTGAAAAAATAAATGTATTATGGTTTGATCAATAAATGAATATTCATGCAAATCTTAGGTATAATAAATAATTAAACCTTTTGGATAAATTTCCGGCGATATTGTCACTTCAGGATGTGAAAGTGAGCGATTTTGATATCTTTCTTAAATGTTTACTATACGTAATTTTTTTCCCACTTTACTGAAAATTTTCAACGTCATACCAGTCATGCAAATACAAATATTTGGATGTAGCATAGGCATCAGTAGGGGGGGGGGTAGGCACACAACTGTTTTGCAAAGATATACATAATATGGGCATTGAAAATTGGGGCTTGCCGGGGGGCACTTTCAATTTGCTACCGACGGCTATGTATTAGAAAAAAGAGTTGGGCCGAGAGACGTTCTACTCGTCTTCTCCTTGTTCTTAGGGTTAATTAATACATGTATTATTATATGTAAATTAAAAAGTTTTTGGAAAGATATATTTATTACAAATTGATTCTCTCAATTACTAAGATCTAAGAATTGATTTTTTTTTCCAAAATGTGTTAACTGTCCCCATAGTAAATAATGTTGATGTATACTCTTATCGCACTTTGAAAAACTTCTTCAAAGTGCGTTTAGTATGTTCCAAATTTAACGCACTTTGAAAAAAAATTTCAAAGTGTGTTGATTTTGTCCTAATGCTTTAACGCACTTTGAATTTTTTTTTTGGAAAATGCGTAATTTTTTCAAAGTGCGTTAGCACTTAGGCCATAATTGCTAGCCGACAAAAACAAGCGAGCGAATTTATACAGTACAAAAAACAATACATTTCTGTGAACAGGACATAAACGCGGACCTCTGGAAATTCCAAAAGTGGGGTAAGTGTCTGGGATAAGTTAGTATTCCATGATGACATCCGCTATGAGCCCTATGTATTGATCAAGATGTTATTCCGTAGTGAAATTTAGTTTTAAAAAAGAGACTTTAACAATTTTAACAAAATGAAACAAATCTGCCAAGATATTTCCCAATGATAGCATACATAAGGTCATTGCAGCGATCACATAATTTAAGAAATTGCTAACTTGTTTTAAACAAATTTGTTGAAATCCCTATTACATCTTTTAACATTTACATGTATGTATGCGTACCCTGTCGCAGCTTAAAAATCTATCATACTTAGAGCATTATCTTGAGTAGCGAATGAGGACAAACACCATACGGAGGTGACAGCGGAATATTACTCAATAGATAGGGGAAAAGATGCGTTCGGAGACAAAACACCCTATAGAGATGACAGCAAATATAACTACATGTACATAAATAAGAAAAGTTGCACATTGAAAAACTTTTCGTCACTTCGTTTATCATTCAATTTAGTTGTAAGTTGACTTTGTCGTTTATAGTCAGTAAAACAACAAAATACCGTAGATTGGCAAATAATCACGTTGGTTTTAATTTCGCTATGTTCGCGATTCATCATTTTTCCGCGAAAAAAAACCCATCGTGAATGCTATCATTAGGTATTAAAAACGTTTAAATGATTGTAAGAAATTTTCTTACGCCGTGAAATTAAAACCATCGCGATGGGAACTTTTTGAGAAATCGTGAAATTTTAACATCGTGGAATTAATAGGATTTACAGTATAAATCAGATATGACAGGCCAAATCTCCGATTCAAATAATTCAATCTGAGAACTAATTAACTCCATTGTATACCAGAAACTTTGATTGGGTTTTTCTTAACCATTATTGATTAATCTAATCACCTGTAAATGATGTCCTGGATTTGCTTCATGGAGAAGTAAAGCCATGAAGTCAATTGTTGGTCTGTAAAGAGAAACTAAAAGGTTTTCTCTTTCCTCACATTAAATTTCCCACATCACTCTTAAGTGATTATGTTACGTTTAAACAGAAAGATAATAATATCTTTAGTATCAGGAAAAGTAAAAAACTTTATTTTAATTTATCACGTGTGTAGGGTGTAGGGGCATAGGAATGTAAGCTTAAAATCTTACAATTTATTAGGATGATGAATATTAACTTGAAACACTGCTGGCCTGGAACCATCCGAAGACCCTTCAAAATATTGTCCACCAACGCCATCAATTGGATTGGGTTCCACTCTTTGAATAGAATAAATTTACAACGTTACAGAGAATATATGTGACATAGTCATACACAAATCCTGCTAGGGGCTATAAATAAATACAATGCAACATGTAATAACAATAAAAAGTATTAAAAAGGATCTTAGAATTATATTATTTATTTTATTCTGAATTAAAATCAGTACGACATGTACTAAACGTATACATAAATACGCTGATCAGTGGGGATGCTCACTCCTCCATGGCACCTGATCCCACCTCTGATGTTTTGGAGGTCCTTGTTTTCTCCGCTGTTTTGTAATGTTGAATGTACTTTTGAGGTCGTCGAATACTATTCATTTTCTCCACATATTTCATGCATTATTATTTTTTTTTACCAATACTCTCTTTTGATGTTATTGCATTATATGTTGAACATTTTTCAAAGAAGATTTTTCTTTAATTGAATTATTTAAAGTCTGTTCTGCTTTCCATGAGGAATAAAGTCGCCCGAGTGGCGCAGTAGTTAGAGCGTCTGCTCTAGAGTCAAGAAGTAAGGAGTTGATGCTTAGGTTGCAGGTTCCAATCCCACTTGGGGACGTGGAGAGCGGTCCTTCGGATGAGACTGTATAAACCGAAATCCGGTGTCGCAGAAAGTGCTGGTACGAAAAAGATCCCTCTCTGCTCAATGGACCTGAGTGCCAAGAGCTCTCCACCGGCAAGTGGTGGCGTCTCCATATGAGTGAAAAAATTCTCGAGAAGGACGTTAAACAATATACAATCAATCAATCATCCATGAGGAATAGAACTTGATTATACATTTTTGAAAAAAAGCATCTACATATATAATGCTTCTTGATAAAAAATAATATATGACATAAATACAGAATTGTATATAATGACCTCTCTTCATAAATAAATAGTTAACAATAAATGAATTGTTATTGAACAATAAAATATTCTGAAAATAGATTAAGTTAAATGAAACTTATTTTCAGCGAAAAAATAGATTTAGTAAAATGAAATTATTTGAATTCAACGAAATGTGAAATTACATATCATACATTATCTGCATAAAAGTGCACTTACACTAATGGTAAATCGGGAATATTTTTAAAAAAGGATGGTAATTTTGGTTTGATTTCTTTCTCAATTACATTCGTATACCATTCTATAATTTCATCCTGTAAGAAACGAAGAACACGATATTATATATAATTTAAACAAGATATGTTTGTGAAACACTGATGCCTATGGTAGATGCCCTCGTATTGCCACATAGTGAAGATTAAACTTTTCTTAGATGCAAATTTAATATATTGCTACCCAAAGTAGGGTCTCCTAACTCAAAATACAATTGCAAAACATGAAAGGCCTGTCACCATCTGTTCCAAAGTTATGACCTGACCAGGCTGATTTTTTTTCATAAGTACAGATATCTTCAAGATCAAGGTCAAAAGGTCAAAGTTATTGGTATCCAAAGAAAGGTCTTTCCACAAAGATCAAATGTTTAATGTATGGAAGCCCTAGACCTAAACATTCAAAAGCTATGGCCAAGGTTAAAAATATTTTAATAGTAAGTTAAGGTCAAGGTCAGAAGGTCAAGGTTATTAGTATTGAATGAAAGGTCTTGTCACAAGAATTACATATGTGAAGTATGAAAAGCCCTAGCCCTTACTCTTCAAAAGTTATTGCCAAGGTTTATGTTTTTTCATAAGTCCGGAAATCTCCATGGTCAAGGACAAAAGGTCAAGGTTATTGGTATCCAATAAATGCTCTTACAACAAAGAATACATATGTGAAGTATGGAAGCTCTAGCCCTAACCGTTCAAAAGTTATGACCAAGGTTAAGATTTTTTAAAAGAAGGTCAAACTTTAAGGTCAAGGTCAAAGGTCTTGATATCAAATGAAGGGTCATGTCACAAGGATTAAATATGTAAAGTATGAAAGCACTAGCTCTTAACCTTTAAAAGTTATGGTCATGGTTTATTTTTTAAAAGAAGGTCAAACTCCAAGGTCAAGATCAAAGGGTCAAATCTCTTGGTATCCAATGAAGCGTCTTCTTAAAAGGATTACACTTGTGAAGTATGAAAGCTCTAGACCCTACCGTTCAAAAGTTTTTGCCAAGGTTAAAGTTTTTTCATTAGTACGTAAATCTCCAAGGTCAAGGTCAAAAGGTAAAGGTTGGTGGTATCCCGTAAAAAGTTTTTGCGGACAGAGAGACAGCTAGACAGACAGACAGACACGACAAAAACTATATATCCCCGAAACTTCGTTTACGGGGCCTAATGACCATGCATAATAATTTATGAAAGGTATTCTTACCCCGCTTTGTAAATAGAACTGTGGATCTGCTTTAACTTTATCAAAAAATTCTTTCACAGTGCCTTGTTGGTTAAGTTTTAACATGACCTGTTAAAAAAAAGAAAAAAAGAAGAAGTAATTTTCACAATGATGTCTGTGTTATTTTCTAAACAATAAATGTCTCACCTTCTTCATTTTCATAGAAATCATTTCCACTTCCTTTAATCCTATGTTATGAACCTCTTCTGGGGATAAATCCAATGTTAAGTAATATCTTAGACATTCTTTGTAGAATTCTCTCCCTTTATCCCAGTCACTCACCCCGACACCACTTCTGAGGTTGTGAAAGTAGACCTTGAAAATCGGAGATGAAATAGACTATAAACTTTTTCTTATACATACATTTTAAAACAAATAATGTGCTAATATTCTTTTAAACAAATAGTATGCACGAGATTTTATTTCAAATAGAAGACCAAACGAATACAAAAATACGATGTAACTTACATCCTGCAAAAATGTCTTCAAGTTCCGATATTTCTGAAGAATTATGTTTATAAATGGTTTGACTCTCTGTCGCAACTCTTCTCTGACAAAATAATTTCAGATCCACATTTAGTGTATGATAGAGTTGTTCAAAAGGTTCGAAGATTTCTGTCATAAAATTTTCAATTTGTAATTTGTAAGGACAAAATAGGCTAAGACCCCTTTTTTATACGTGATTTGGGGGGTCTTTTAGAGGGATGCGCCACTTTATGAATAAAACCTGTTGTTTTGGGATAAATACAGGTCACAGAGAGGTCAGAAAATATGTCAATATCCTAATTTTCTTTTTTAGGCAATTTTTCATCGATTTAATGCACATTTTGCTTCATAAAACATCGAGCACAAGCTTGCCTATCTGCAAAATTTATGCATTTTATACACTGATGTCATATGCATTTTTTTGAACCAGGGTATAAAAATCTCAGATAGGCAAGCTTGTGCTCTATGTTTCCCGAAGAAAAATGTATCTCAAATATGACGAAATGCCAACGGAATTGAGGAAATTAGGGAAAATGGCCTACTTCTGCACCCTCTTGTGGCCTCCATGTAATCTTTAAACAAAATTAGTACTGGTTTTAAATCAAGCACCATTTTAAGTTCTTCATTGTAAACTATTAGAATTTTAACTGTGTTTTGATTTTAACATTTAATTAGGGGCCAGATTTGGCCATTTCCATACCTTGTTCTTTGGTAGGATTTGAAATAGTTTGAATTTTAAAATTTTTAAACATTTCATCATTTGCAATTCAATATTCAAAGTAAGAATCTGCAAAATTGGGATCATTGAGCAGGTCAAAAAGTGTGTCGTGCGTCGTTTGAAGACAGCACCGACTGTCTAGAATAGTAGACCTATACGATATATATTCGGAGACGGATTTTCAAAAATCAAAATTGTCTATTGCTGATCTTTTGAAAATTATGTGCTTAAAAAATAAAAACAGTATCTGAAAAACAGACCTACGTTACCCAAACAATTATAAGCAAACCGAACACCAAATAACCTGGGTTTCATTTATTCTTATGGAATGAAACTTCAAACAGTAATATATTTTTACACACTTGTATATCAATTTTTAGATCTTAAATTTCTTAAATAAAAGAAAACTAAGACTGAACTGTCCGCAAACTTTTTGAACAGCCATAGTATGATGAAAATAATAATAATTTTATGTTCCTTAGTCTGTATAACATAATCAAGGAGAATGAGCTCGTTTACTGCTCAGGGCAGGCGAAATAAAACACTTGTGTGAGAATGAATTATGCCATTTTTTTTTGTTAATGAAAATTGAACAAGAAAATTTGAATTTGAGAATGTTTGCAAGATAAGACCTTATTCCAAAGTGATGTTGGGAGCCTTTGAAAGTGTGTTGTTAAAGATTAAACTTAGTATTGTTAAAATGAAAATCACAATATCGCATTATCTTTACGTCGTACATACTAATACTAGTAGTAGTGGTGGTAGTAGAAGAAAAAAGAAAAAAAAAAACCAAAAAAAAAAAAAAACTTGCTTTTGTTATAAAATCTTTGCAATGAAGACGACCATATAAACAGTTTTTTTTTCGAAATAGATTAATTAGCTAAAGTGATGTTTAATTAAAAAAAAAACAATAGCAGTGTAATTTCAAACGTTGAGAGATACTGGTGGACTTGAGATAAAGGGATTTTTAGATACTGAATTAAACATTATACTTTTTAGACTCTTCTATGGCTTTGTGCTTTGTCAACTGGTCCATAAATGGTTCGTAAAGGGGGAAGTTTGTATCATTAACGCCCTCAAGAATGTAATCGATCTGGCCCGGAACTCTGTTCTACAATTATCAAAGATTTTATCTCTTTCAATAATTACTGAAGTAAATAAAAAACAAATATATTTTATTTTATATCTCAAAATTTTGTCAAAATTAATGTCTGATTTTAAATATTCTCATTTTATAAAAAAATATAATTGTTAAAAATTTTTTGCTCCTTTTTTGGTCTTTACATACCACTGATGCGTTATGATAAGTGTGCCTTTCTTCTATTGCTTTCTCAAACAGTGCAATCATTTCATCAAACTGATAATATGAAAAATAAAACAAGAAAGTTCACAATTTTACATTACTAAAAATAAGTGAACGGTGTTTTCCCACAGAAACAAGGAATTTCACATTAAAAAAAAATTTCTATGCATCAGTTATTTTTTTCGTCTTAACTTGTTACTCGAAAGAATATTCATGATTTTTTTTTAACTCAACACTTATTAATAGAACTTCAAAATGTTTAAATGTACAATATGAGGAAAAACTAAAAACTTGAAATATCCTGAATATTTTTTATTTTAACCTGATTTGGAATCAACTGTAGTCGTCTTATATAATTTTCATAGTCGCCTATGGTGTCGAATGGCATTGATTTCGGCAGGAAAGCTGGGTCTACTTGTGGTCCTTCCAGGAAATTAATTGGATTCAGGGCACTATAACTATATGATACATAAATCATGTTATATGTCATTAAACGATTACTTCTGTATTCAATTTAAATTTTCATATTCAAGATTCTTAAAATATTTAACACATTATTAGTATAAGACTATCTACTTGTGATATTTGTTTTCTTTTAGTTCCTTGACTTAAAATATGCTTTGATTTGAAATTGAAAGCAATCTTGAGTATCACTGTGATAATGTTAAAATACTTTAAGTGCACCTGAACCTTACATGAAATAATTTTTCTTTAGTAAGCATTATTGATAATTAGTAAATAAATCATACAGGAGAAAGATAATTAAACATATACAAACTCTCGCCAATCATATCCTCGCACAAATGTCCATAAAGTATCATTGAATACGTCATAATCTATCGTCTGTTTGGGTGATAGTTGCCTGTAGTTTATACTCTTCAAACGACTTAGAAGATCAACACATTTATTCTACAACAAATTTAAAGAATTAAAAAAAAAATCATTTTATCTTATTCCTCAATTCTTTTTTAAAAATGTTTCAGGTATATGAAATTTAAGAAATTTTAGAGTATCATTGCAAGTATTAAGCCATCTCAAAAAGTGTAAATGTAGGGTTAATAATAAACACATTATTAACAATGATTTTTTTTTTCCAGATGACAAAACTTTAAAAAAAAAAATTAGCATCATCAAGGTCTTCGTACAAAATTTTCTTCGAATCCCGAGTATGCAAACGTATCCAGTCTGTCGTTGTACTTGTATCTGCCCAACCTTGTAGAGTACTCGGGAGAGCTCTGTAATCGCCATTCTGCGTACTCTTCTTGTAGCGAATCAAGATCTGATGTCGAATACGCACCTGTTTAAATATCAAATAGCAATCTACTATTACTAAAGACGTCTTTGTAAGACATATAACGTACAAGGGAAAATTAAAAATAAGCATGACTTTTTGTTGGATTTTGTTATATATTTATCAAGTATCAAAAGTAAAATGTACATGTATCAATATATGAACCTACCGAAGGGGCGTTAAGCGAGGGTACACATTAGGGACTTTTATATCACATCATATACTTTAAATTCATATTCTTTCGTGGGGGTCTTTTCGTTGTTTGAGGAAAAACTCGTTCCGTACATATATAGGGATTTGATTTCGTGGATGAAGAATTGTTGAGTAGATATGCATGTAACAATTTTCATTTCGTGGTAGACATGAATTCATGAGTCTCTTTATTCCTCGAAAACAACGAAAATGAACCCTCCACCAAAATATGGGATTTCACAACGCTTTGGCAGAACACTGTAAAGTGCACGCCAGCTTGGCATTTATTTGAACATCTAGGTTTTGTGTTATTCAGCAAATTACAAATGAATGTATATTGTTTACATTTATTTTTACATAGTTTTTGGCAAGGTTTTAGGAGTATAATTGCTAACTCAACATTTTTTTTACGAAAAGTGCTTGTACTATAGTGTGTTCAGTGAGATTTTTTTGTCAAAAAAATGTACTTATACAATGCCTTTTACAAAACATGAAATTACTAAATTACACTAAATTACTAGTAAACTGTCAAACAAGAAAGAAATTAGATAGAATACAAAAAAAAAAAAAAGAAAAAAAAAAGAAAGAAAAAAAAACCCCAACCAAGCCTTGGTACAAACGGAGATTGAACACTCTTTCAAATACATGCAATCAAACCCTTTCTTAAAATCATTTAAACATGGTCATTTGCATTATGAATGTAATGCAAATGTACAAAAATAAGTGCACTAAAAATAAGTACAACCTTCCCTGTCAGCTGATTAGTCAATTTGGTTCAAAGCTTCTATAAATGAATGTATTTGTTAACAGTGATCTGGTTTTGATCAAAGTCCATCTGTGGGTATGTATGTAGAATATCACTGAGAGTTAATAGTGATTTGTATAAAAATGAAAATAAATGATGCAAGGAAAAAATATATGGAAAATACTTAAAAATAAGTTCAAATTATTTCAAGCTGAATGAATTGATTTCATTTTTTTTTTCTATTGAAAAAGAAATAATTGTAATTAATACCTATAACTGACGGAACTATTACATGTATTAAAAAAATTCTGTATAAATATTTTTTTTAGTTTAACCAAAAAGAAATCATGTTAAAAATATTTAACTTGAATATTTTAGAAGTACATTTATTTCACAAGCGTGTAGTGTAGCTTCTCTAACAAAGTTATACATACATGCATTCATTCTGGTGATTACCTACCTTCTATCATCAATAAAGTCATTAAAACCATCACCGATTTCCAACACATCTCCATTTCTGTCACAGCTAAAGAATGGATCAGTCAAGCAGGTCATAGGACGCTGTATTAACGAATTATTCTGCCAAATTATGCTACCACGCTTAAAATAGCCGAGTCTGTACCAAACAATTGTCAGTGCGTTTACATTGTAGCACTGATGTACCAGATCTAAGTAGTATATGTATATGAGATAAGAATAAATTTTTTCTAAAAATACCTGTTTTACAAAGTGTTCTTAGTTTAGATTAAATATTCTCGGTCACACAGTTTTACTTGTTCCAGATCCTTTATTTTATAACAGAGGAAGAAAGAATATTCATCATCTTTTCAAGAGAATGAATAATAAGTCCACTTCAACCAAGGACGAATATATACATGTATAACTAATCTTAGGATACTCTCATTATCAAGTATATATAGGACCCTGCTACAACTTTCATGATCGCTTTTATTGATTAAAAAAAAACAACAAAACAAAAACGAAATACTCGTATATTGGAGTAATGATAAATAGAACACAAAAATTTCATATTTAAATCAGTTTATACACTGGAACATTAAACTCAAAAAGTAAAAAAGCAAATTCAAAGAATTGTGTAGCTGCAGAACTGTAGCGTTATGGTTTTATATATTTGTCCTAGCTATAGAACTGTAGCGTTATGGTTTTATATATTTGTCCTTGACCATAACGTTACAGATCCCGTAATGCAAGAAATATGCAATTTACGGCGCAAGATTTTTTGCGCACTGTTTGGGAGAATTTCTCCAATTTCCAACATTAGTAAATCATCTACCTTTCCACAAGCCCTGGAGTGTTATGTCGCCCGATGCCGCGACGAAGTGAAATAGTAGGGGCTGGCTTTAGTCAGACTGTCTACCTTTCCTTCCATAATTCTAGACACATTTTAAAATAAATCTGTATATTTTATACACCTCTCAACCCTTTATATTCGTCGCTACTAGCGATAAACTCGTTTGAATTACAATTTTCTGCAATCTCTCAGAGAATTCAAATCAAACCAGTTTATCGCCTGTAGAGGCGACTATAAAAGGTTGAGAGGGGGATAAAAAATACAGATTGGTTTAAGAATGTGTCTGGAAAAAGGGGGTGAAAGGTAGATTATTTACCAGAGATGGCAAGTGGAGAAATTCTCCCAAACAGTGCGCACAAAATCTTGCGCAGAAAAGAACTGGGTACGGTATGTACATGTATAACGAGGCAGCGATGTCTCTACACTTGATTGAAGTTTTTTTACAAACATGCCTACAATGTATCCTTTCAAAATCATTTTATTTTTGGAATAATTTCATACCGTTATTCCGCCAGAGGTTTGGAAAATGGTGCACTTTCTTCAATAATTACAACTTTTGACGTAACGACGTAATCACAACTTACTGATTTTAACGTTACGTTAATTGAAATCTGTAAATTCTCTTAACAGAGAACTATTTACTTAATCCTGCCAATATTCCAGTAAACCATTATGAACTTTCTTTCAATTCATCATATATCGTTGATAGTTTGAAATAGTTTAAAAATTTACAGAAATATAGATATTTTTAAACAAACGATTGTACTAGACAATTTACGAAACTTGATTCGTCCAGATGAAATGAGGTGAGTACTTAAAAAATTGAACGTATTATTTATGATTTTTATTTGGGCAATGAAAAAGAAAGCTATTTCCATTCCAACAAATGGCGGCGCTATAAATATTGGGTCCTTTTTTAAATAAACATATTAATTACTCCCTATTTCGTGGTTATATGATATGCCTTTTTTTTCAATTTTCTATGATTTTAGATTTTTTACCCCCGCTTGAAAAGTGGGAGGGTATGGGTATAAAGTGATCGGGGTGTCCGTCCGTCTGTTAGGCTTTTGGGGTACCTCTCTTTTAAGTTTTGCCGTTGGAAACCCAAAATATATGTCGGATCAAAGAGTAAAATAGAAAGTCACAATAGCAATATTAGTCCATGAGCCAGGCCATGAATTTTTCGGTATCGGTACCATCTTGGGTGAATAATTTTCATAGTTATTTTTTAAAGGACATACATCTCTACCTTCAGAAATTGTAATTCTAAATAAAACGTGCAATTTGTTACAGATTTTTGACATCAAAATTAAGCAACATATGTGCACGGTTATTTGTTTCAATATATATGTGCTTTGTGGGCAGTGTCTCACGACTTGCAATGGCCTGATGCCCCTTCCCTCCACTAGTCCGGTTAGAAGGAACCCGTACCCTCTTAAGGGAGATTCCTCTAGGAGAGCACTCTCTACACAAAGCTCTGAAGGGTCTCAAACCCCCGTTGATTGAGGGCTTGCCTACCTATTACGAATGTAAAGACTGTGCACCGGCGGACTCTGCGGAGGAAACCGTCATGGTTCAATGGAGAAGACAGACACAGCAAGCACCGTGGGGTGCTTGGAGCAAGACAAGGAACATATATCACGTCTAGGTAATCCACTGCATTTGTCTTCATTTCCAGACGTCCTGATATTTGTCTTGACAATAGATCTAGATGGTTGCGGGCAAGAAAGTAAGGTTGGCGACGCGCAACCCTTCTTCACTTTAATCAAACTCATCACACAAGTCATTGTTCATCTTCCATTCCTTCTATCATCCACCCCAAAGCCCTGTGGCGACAGGTGAGGAACGAAGATAACAGGTGCGGGTTCACTGGAAGTGAGTCGCGGAACTGCACACAGGCGGCACAGGCCATAGGATTGCTCTTCACCGGCCGGAGCAGCGTTGGAGTTCTGCAGCCACCTGTGCGACTGAGCAACTCTCTTTAGGAACGCACTGCACCAACTACGGCAAAGAGGAGCCGATTAGAAAAGGTATCCAAAACATTGCCTGCTCCACCTTATTCTAGCCAGTTTACCGCGGCTGGTGGGGATCCTACACATGCGATCGAAATAACAAAGAAAACAAGAAGAAAACAAGGATCATCCCATTGAACCTTGGATCATGGAATGTTTGAAAGCTTCTCGACAGAGACATTACAGACAGACTCCAGAGACGCGCAGCACTGATTGCATGCAAACTCGCGAGATATAGCATTGACATCGCGGCTCTCAGTGAAACCAGGATGGAGGAGCCAAGGAGAGACAAGAAGCTGGCATAGGCTTTGCTATAAAGACGACGCTTGCTGGCAAGCTAGTCGGCGTACCAAAAGGAGTGAACGACTGCCTGATGACGATGAAACCCCCTCACTCGTGGATAGTTCGCCGCTATTGTCAGCGCATATGTTTCTACCCTCACTAACCTAGAGGAGGCTAAAACAAGTTCTATGAGAACCTCCAAAATGTCACCAACACCGACCCCAACGCCGACAAGCTCGTTATTCTTGGTAACTTTAATACGAGACTTGGACGTTACACCACCACGGAGGAAAAGCGTGATTGGGAAACACGGAGTGGGCAAGTACAACCGTGACGGTCTTTTGCTTCTTCAGACCTGCGCTGAACACGGCCTTCTCATCACTAACCGTTTTCTGCCTTCCCATCTGTAAAAAGACGTCATTGATGCACCCTCGCTCAAAGCACTAGCATCTCATTGACTACATCATTGTCAGGAAGAGAGACAGACAGAAAGTTTGTTTGTTCACCAAGGCTTTGTACGGCGCGGAGTGCTTGACAGATCATGGTCTCATCGTCTTTAAACTTCAACTCTCATCTGGACACAGGATACGTCCTCAGGGAATTGAGGCTTCAAAACGTCTCAACGTTGGCAAGATCAAGTTGCCTTCCACCTCAGTACTTTGCTGACGCCCTGGAAGAACGCCTGAAATCCACCCTGCTGGGTGACCACGACGTGGAAGCAGCACACTCCGTAATACAGAGTAAAATACAGCCTTCGAGTGTCTTGGGCCCTCCACAAAAAAACACTGGATTGATGAAAACCATGCTGAGATCACGCAGCCTCTAGAGGACAAACATCGCGCTTACTTGTACAAGGCTCATATAGATGAGCCCACCTCCACAACAAAAAGACGCTCTGAGGAACGCTCGCAGCCCAGTACAGCAATAGCTTCGGAATATTCGAGACTCCTGGCTGAATGCCAAGGTTGACGAGATCCATCTTTACGCAGAATCTCATGACAGGAAGAACTTTTACTATTGACTGGGGGAAGTCTTCGGGCCAACTCCATCAGGCTCATCTCCTCTCCTCAGTGATGACTGGTTAACACTCATCACAGAAAAGGAAAAGATACTCTACAGGTTGGCGGAACATTTCAATGGCGTTCTAAACCGCCCTTCTACCATCAACGACGAAGCCATCAACCGACTGCCCAGGTTCCCATCAACCAGTCACTGGACGCCGTTCCCACGCTGGATGAGATCAAAAAAGCAATTTATTTGCCGTCAACTGGCTAAACACGTGATGGATACTCCATCCCACCTGAGATTTACAAAGAAGGAGGCATGGCTCTAGTCGAAAAGCTCCTTCATCTGTGCGAGGATTGGCCTGACCAGTCACCTATGAGCACACTGTCCAAGTCAACTCCCTCCTTCGCGAAGATGAGACAGTGGTCATCGTCGTCATCGACCGACGAATAACTAAACTAGTATATGTGTGTTGGTACTCATCTTTTTCGTTATACAAATTTTTGAAGTACAAGTAATTGTTGAATAAAAGTGGTAAAAATATGCAATTTTTGTTAGAATAAGGCTAGTAACTCAGTTAATGCTCTTTTAATATGTTCATCATATGTCTGAGTAATTCTGGTAGAACTTTCTATCACGGTTGGCAACTGTGAACTGTGTGACAAATACTTTGCTGGTTGCAAATATATTTAGCTCAAAATACCTAATTTGAGTAAATAAAGGGCAATAACTGTGTCTCCAGCATTGAAGCCACAACAGATTTGATGCTTTAATCTTTTCAAATTACAATTAGGGGCAGAAAGTATAAAAATGTTTTTGAAAGTGGGGGTGGGGCCAACCTTATCGTCCAAAATTTTTTTATATACTAAATATTTGAAAAAGTTGACAAGCACATTTTTTAGAAAAAAAAATAAAAAAAATTAAAAGTTGCCAAAGCCAAAATTCCTATTTTATCGTGGTGGGGGGGGGGGGGGATTATTGGCTAACTTTTTTCAAGTCCAATTATGTTTCAATTCAAACTTTTTCTGGTTGTAAATTTTCTATATAACAC